AGAGGTTGCTATTCGCTGACTAATTACTAAATTCGTGGGTATTCTTTCGCCCTAAAAACGAACTTATTTTTTTTTTTTGTTTCTGAAGTGTATTGTACTATGGACGACAACAAACGTTCTGTAATTAATTAGCAAAGGCTATGTAAATTAACCATTCTAAAGTTATTGTCCAAAGCTAACTATTGTTATAACAAACTAAACGTTTCAAGTCCTTTACACGAAATAATAGGTTGAACAATCGCAAAGTTTTTATATATTTTTATCTAAAGAAGGATGACGTTTCGAGCTAACGATGTTCGTCAGATCATACAGTTTATTTTTGTCGCCTATGCGGTTTTAACTATATTTGTTTCAAGTCCTTTACACGATGCAGGAAATATTTCAGTTATAGTTATCACAAACTAAAAGAGACGTGGGTGATTTTCCTAACAGTCAGAATACAGATTTAGTATCCAAGTTTCAATCTGTCTTCAGTATAAAAAGATATTCGAATTACCATGTCATTAACGTGGGTATTTCACATTGTTCTGTTATAAACAAAGTAGCAGAAAATGCTATAGCAAACATACATATTAATTCGTTTAGAACTTTATTTAGAAAATATTTCTTTGATTCCATTTCGAATTAGCATGCCAATACGTACTCAAGATTCCAAATATCTCGGACATTCATATCATGCAAATTTGTAAAAAAAATATCAAAATATTTTTCCATCGCAAAAATTACAGTTTTAAAGATTCAACACAACCTGATATCTTACAAAGTCAAAACAAGGTAAAATAAACTACTTTTTTCTAAAAAGATATATATTTTTTCACAAAACAGATAATACTGGACGGAGGTTTCAGAGGTAAATTAAAACTGCCAGAAGCTCAGTTCATATGGATAAACAATAATAGTTTTTGAGATTGCCATATAACAAACAGAACCGAAAATTTGTAACGTTATAGTCCCCTTCACTCTGTTGAGCTGGCTTGTTACAAAGAGCTGTTAGTCACGCCTGACCAAACGATTCAAGGATAGTGAAACGATCAAAAACTAAGTATAATCATCGTGGAAAACCTTCGAGGACTAGTCGTTACCGTTGCTATGGGGACAGTTAATTAACTTTTAATGATGAAATAATAAATTCTCATTTCATTATCAAAGACATACATTTACTTCACAACAATAAAACACCCTAATATGTCGTTTTATAAAGCTCCTGTTACACTATTGTTAAAGGTGTGCGCATATATTCTTCTTCTTAACACTTATTTAAGGTTTAACGAGTTATGTACATGTAACAGTGGAACTGGTCATTATCGTTCTCTGTACAGTACACAGCTAGACACTGCACTAATCGTGCTATGGATGAGCGAAGCTAAATTGGCAAATGTAATTAAAATATACGAATCTTTTATACGTAGTTTCAGACAACGATTTTTAATTAAAAATTTCGAATATCAAATGTTAAAAAACTTCCGCGCTCTAGATACCGTAAGTACCACCTTGCACTGAATACAGGTCAGTGTTAAACAAACAAAAATACACTTAAAAAAATGGAATACACAAATAGCCATTACAATACAAATTACTTCGTGACATTGGACAACGAGACCTGAACCAATGATACATCTGTTTTAACCAACACCTTAAAAGACACTTGACTGCAAAACCATAACCAAAACCATGACTACTATATCACTAAAAACCGCTATTACATTGGGCAAAAAAAAAACCTCAATTAATTGCATGCTTATATTAACACCAAACTCTCCAAGAGATTGACTCGACTAATGACATGCCCATATGAACCCGAAATCTTCCAAGACATTTGACTGAAGACCGTAACCAAAAACCTCTGTTATATTGGACCGAAAGGCCCGAATTTATTGCACGCACATGATAACAATAAACTCGCCAGGTGGATAAGGCGCTCGACTCACAATCTGAGGGTCGCGGGTTCGAATCCGCATCCCACCAAACATGCTCGCCCTTTCAGCCGCGGGGGCG